TGGTTTCTTCTTCTTTCCTATCAAACACCTATCGTCCTTGTCTCTCCTCATTCTTTTTTGTGTTTGTTACTCTCTTATAACACTTCTATTCTTCGGCACTTATGTATGACCTAATTGTGTTGCAAGTGCCGTAAAAATCTTACTAAAACTAAACTATACATCTGTGGTGTAGCGATTAGGTGCTTCGCTGTTGCACACAGGAGACCCGAGTTCGAATCCCAGGTGTGGAGAACTTTTTATTGGGTGTCTTGGTCTTTCTGCTGGGATGTTGTACGTGTCCTTGTCACTACTGGTTGGCCATGGCAGGCAGGCTATCGGACGTCCGCCCCCTAAATAATCTTAATTGTGTTGATTAGGGTGTAAAAACGTGTACATTAATAACTACAATAAATTAAAAAACAACAATAAACAAACAAAACAAACCAAAACGAAACAAAAACAGTTGAGTTGTATGTCAGCGTCTGACTGAGTCTGAGCTTATGATAAAGAAATGTTTCTCGTTGTGTATGTTTATGGTGGTTGCAATGGCTTTTTAAATTTAATTTCCCATACTTTTGTTTCCCTCTGTGCATTTGTATGCTACTTGTGTGAGGCTAAGTTTGGCCTTTCGTGCACTGTGCTGTAAATTATGTATTCCAAAAATTCTCATGATTTGGTTTGGTTCCCAAACAATTTCTTTCCAGTTTTCTTCCAATGCCTTAATTACAGCAACATATGGCAGAAAAGATGCTTGCATTATGATGCCAAATTATGTTGGGTTTTGTCTTTTTTTCTGATTGAAAGGAAGGGTTAAGAATGGTTCGATTGAAAATAAACTGTGGCTTTAAAATGCAGAGGCAGCTCTTGTTTTTTTTCTGTCATTAGTATGTAATCTACTTGTTTTGTTTTTAAAAAGTGTTTTGCGGCGCCCACAACTCTGTCCTCGTCGTTTTATTCGAGAAAAATTTTGAAATTATTCAAAATGAGCCCCAAAAATGTGAAAGTATGCGATTCTGTTAATTTTAACAAAGGATGATAAAGAAAAATAATAAGAAATTATACCCAAACATTTTTTTTAATGATCAAATTTGGCTAAATTATGCGGGGTGCATAAAACCACGGGGAAAGACACTGCAGAAGTTTATATGAGCGGGCTGCCCACGTTTTCGGTTGGCGGTTGGTACGAAGTTTTGAATTTTATCCACGTGACGGCCAAAGCCTACTGTTATCGATTTTGGACTACATACCGAGGGATCTTTAACGTGCGCAACTTACACGCGGGACCTCCGAGATTTTTCGCCCGTGTCCGAGAAGGCTAGGTGTAGATCTTTCCTACCAGAAGATCGGGGGTGCGACTGAAAGACCACAGTAAGAAGGAGCCAAGGAGTAGCAGTAGAAAGACTGCAGAACGAGTCAGGAGCCCAGAGGAGCGAGCAAAGGATGTGGTGAGGGGGTGGGGGCAGAAAGTTGAGACGAAAGCAGACGACAGAACATTGTCGGAGAGCAGGAAAGGATATGAAAGGAGAACATTTTCGAAAAGAAAATTTTCCGTCGCCTTCCGGATTCGAACCCAAAACCTATTGAATTTGAATGGGAGGCGAACACCTTAACCTCTAGACCACGAGAGCCCCCGGCCTCTAAATGATCTAAACTGTGTCGATGGGGGCATAAAACACCCACAAGCAATGTGTGCCGTTTAGGCCTGGAACTGGGTGGCCGATGATGTCGTGTGAGTGGGTGGTTGGCAGGCGCGGTTCGTCTATAGAGTACGGTCGTGCAGTGCCGCCCCAAATTTTTTACTGTTCGATTACGTAAAACACCCACAATAATAAAATAAAAGAAGCCAGAAACAAACACTAGCCAAATATTATATCAAAACAAGGTCCTCACTGCGCCATAACTCATTTCTGTGCCTATAGCGCCGTAAAACATCTACTATGTCATACCAAAGTCCACGCGCTTTAGCTAAACATAATAGGACATTCAATAGTGTAACCTGACCTATAAACCCAAGCGATGACGAAACTCGTTGCGAGTTTGGCGGTACATTAATATTAATAAGCTGGCACATCTCAAATGTGCTCCTGCCGAACTAAAAATTAACGCGATAGACCGTACGCTATTCTTTGCCAATATTATGTGAGCCCCGGAGCAATCCAGCGGAGTGCTCAAGTGAATTGTGATTGGTTCATTGTCTGTCTTGCCACTATTTTAAGCGACTCTGTGACCATGAACCCAAGGGAGGCGAATGTGACCGTCCTATGAGTTGTGCTTTTGAATGGTTTTGTAGTGGAGTATTGAAAGTTATTAATTGAGTGTTCAGTTCCGACAAAGGATGAACGAAATTGATGTTTAGCTAACAAACACATTTAGTACTAGAAATCAAAGCGACAAGTAAAACAAATGAAAATAAAAGCGCGAGGTCCTCCCTCACCAACCCAAAGATCCTTAAATTATACACTGTCTCATTTACTATGCCCTTGACTAGCTTCAGCATGTGATAGCTTAATTGTGCACGTCCACTTTTTAGCCCCACGAGCCGCCCCTAGTGGTTGGCTGGTGCTCTTGTGAGGTTTGCTCCTTCTTTCCTATCAAACATCTACTGTCCTTATCTCCCCTTCTTCTTTTTTATGTTTGTTTGTAACACCTCCCTCTTATCTTCTGGCGCTCATAGTTTTATGACCTTATGCAGTTGCGAGTGCCGTAAAACCTCTACTAAAACTAAAACTAAAGATGTCGTGTGAGGTAGGAACCCAGTTCACGCATTATTCTGTCTTGTAGCTGTTATATGCGTCTTGCTGTCGCACGCAAAAGACCAGAGTTCGATTCCCGAGTGGGGAGAGTACTTTTATCGAGTGTCTCGATCTTTCTGCTGGGATGTTGTATCCCTCTCAGCACGGGGCTGATCCCGACTTGCAGGTTCGAAGCCCGCCTCTTGAATAATCTAAAGTGTGTCGATTTGGGGGAGGGGCGTAAAAAACACCTACATTTGAAAAAACAAAACAAACCCAAACGACCTAGACATCATAATTATGGTGGGCTGACGTCACACTGAGGATGGACAAGATGTCATGTGGGTGGTTGGCGGGTGCTCCTTATCTCCCCTACTTTTATGTGTTTGTTATTCTCTTGTAATACCTCTAATCTTCGGTACTTATATGACCTAATTGAGTTGCAAGTGCCGTAAAACTCTTACTAAAACATTCTATTCAACTAAGAAACCGCACGAACCTTTCTCTCTAACCATAATAATGTAGGCCTATCTGTGAAACTGGATCTCAAAGCATACAAGAAACACAAGGAGTACCGTCAACAAATGACATAGATATACTATTCACTGTTGGGAAGATTGCTGATAAGTGCAATGAACTAGAAAGAGGCACCACATTTTGTAGCTCGTAATCAGGGGTTGATACCAGATATAAAATTGTCGGATGAAATTTGAAAGCAAATAGATCTATATATATATATATATATATATATAAGTGTCACGACGCAGTGGAATCAGGTTCTCGTCAATTTCTGGGCATGTAGAGTTATTGGTACCACCTTAAAGTTTGTTCATTTGTCTTTCTTTAAAGGAAAAAAAAATCATCTATCTTGAATAGAAATCAAGATATTTACGAATGAAGGAGGTGGGGGTCACCTGGTTTCAGATGTAAAATTAGTGAGAAAATGGCCGCCGAAGATTAGTTATTTCCTTAGCTTGAGAGTCCGTGAAAACTGAAAATTTACTTTTTTGTGCCTTTAAGCAATATTATCACCCCCCCCCCCCCCCCCAAAAAAAAAAATTCTTTAAAAATTCACAAACCTTCAGAAAAATGCCAGTTTTTCACTTTGATTATATTGACGAGTGCCTGATTTCACACGCTCCCTCACATCATATGAGAGTAATGTGAGAGTATGAACAAAGAGTAGACATAGCACACATTGTAGCTGGACTGCTATATAATTATATAATGTTCACAACCAAACCAAAGAAAAAACCTACTTTACGAAAATGAAACTGAGTCCATCTTTATGCACGCACGCACACACGCACACACACACACACACACACACACACACACACACACACACACACACACACTCTCTCTCTCTCTCTCTCTCTCTCTCTCTCTCTCTCTGTCTCCTTCTCTCTGCCTTCCTATCTTTCTCCTCAAACCCGAACAAATGTAATTAATTTTTTAAAACAGCATTGCAATTAAGATGGAAGAACGAAGGCAGAGACAGAAGACATATAATGCTAATGCATGTGTCATTAGAATGGGCAGACAGACAGACAAACAGACAGACAGACACGAAAACGTAGGAAATAAGCAGGCTAACTTAAAAAAATTCTTTCGAGTCTGATGTCATTTCAATTTTTCTCGAAACACACAAACTGAACTTGAAGAGGCGGTAGAGTAGAGATTAGGATATTGGTTGTTTTTTCTTAGCACTTTGTGTTAACGACAATGTGTCCTTTTTGTTAAAAGTTCTTCCATTAAAATAGGCCTATACTAAATTTAGAAGGCTACATTATTTTTGCAAACGTTTATTCTGAACTTCTGTAATATATATATATATATATATATATATATATATATATATATATATATATATATATATATATATATATATATATATATATATATAAAGGCCTATTCGCTACTTAAGCTTTCCTACGCCCATCTTTCAGATAAAGCAAAAAAGTGACCCCTCCAAAGTTGTATATCCCGTGTTCCACCCCCCACCCCCCAAGAAAAGATTTAGGGGGGGGGGGGTCGAAAACGTATGTCCAGGCTCCTCGTCTTTATCATGTATGCCCACTTTTTGCTCAGTTTGGTGTAAGCCAGTACTGGGGCTAGCGCCAGAAACTCACGGCACTACTGCTCATACCCATTGCCACTGCTGCGGTCAAAATATAAAATTTTTATTTAACAATTATTATAGTCTTCATAGATGTGGATTTTGTCTAAATGCCACAGATGATCTCTTATTATTTTGGCGGTTCAGGTTTTACTTTCCATGATAAAAAATGCCTGGCAGGAAACATTGCCATTTGCCAAGCGGAAGTCAAATAAACTGCTAAGATACTCATTCAAGATGTCGGAACGGTACAGCTTCTCTCTGACAACGTTCAGGTAAAAAGCTTATGACTTGTTTATCGTTGTCCCCATGTTTGTGAAATTAGCATTGTAGAGTTGTTCATTGAAATTCAAGTGACTATAGACCATTTTGTCTTTTATATGTAGAAGACTTGCATGAAAAAACTTTGCCGGGTCTCAACGATTTGTTGGACAGAAAGAGTGGAGAGAAATTGGCCCAAAACCGCATTGTCACTACTAAACACAACTACCCATTGCTACTACTACGACTGCTGTGGTTAGGATATAATTCGATAAATATGTAAATCTAGACTGCATCACAAGATTGTTACATTTAGTTTGAAGATCAGGGACTTGAGTACCCCTGCCAACTCTATTTTATTCTTCAGGAGTCTGTGAATTGTGGTTCAGCTAGCAGGGGAGGCAGGTCCAGAAGACTGTTGACTGTTGATGTTGTGTTGTTATTGTTATTATAGATCTAGATCTAGATCTATTATTCATTCATAGACTATGGCTATGGATGTTGATTATTTATGAAGTCAAGTTCTCTATAATATAAATATACTCACGGATCAATAAACAGATCTAGGCTACTTATCAGTCTACCTATATCTTATAAATGTCTTATGGCTATGGCCACCTCTATTCTCACCCAGGGCCTGGGCGCCCAGGGTGAGAATAACACAGGCGAGCCTTTTGGCTATTCTCACCCTGTGTGCGTTCACCGTTATAGATAGCCTAAGGCAACCAGTGTAGCGTTCACTGTGAACATACGTTTGAACGCTCTTGTGTTGAATACGTGCAATTTTGTTTGTGGGCACTGAGAGAGAAAGAGTAGGCACTTGGATATCGGCCCGCGCGGCCCGAGATTTTCGTTCACCTGAGGCCGCCGCGTTTTGTGTCAGAAATCGGGCCCCGTGAGGGGGGTACCTATTTGTTTTGTTTCGTTTATAGTGTTCTTTTCAATTTATGGATTACTTCCGCCTATCAAATTAAAGAGGAAAGAAAGGCGCGTATTATGGCGTTTTCCACTTCGGGATCGGTTGTGTGTGTTCGGAGTTACAAGGAGTTAAAAATAAGGTAAGTTCAAGCCTTTATATTTAAAGAGTATATCTTTTTTTTTTTAGGTACTCCTCACAGTCTTTTCTTCAACCTTTTATCTCTTTTATTTGTTAATTTCAATGTTGTACGTTGAGGCATAAGCGTGTGAGCCCTAATTTAAATAGGTCACTCTCCATGAATGGGCATGACCTATTATCGATCGCGCTGCTGAGCGTGAACCGGGAGGTCATGGCGGCCATTGCGGAAAGCGAACTTAACCCACGCTAACGTGTATTGTTGGCGTTTATTACCTCTTAAAGGGCATTGAAGAATGTTTTATAGTAGAAGATATGATTTATTTTAAATTTTGGAATGTAATATGTATCACTGTTGTATAGTTCTTATGAATTTGAACCATGTAACAATCAGTAAGGAGTCTTGGGTGGGGGGAGGGAAATGTAACAGCCTTGGCCTTGTTTTGTTTCTGTGTTACTGTCACTGTTAGACCATCGATTTCACGCAAGTTTTTACTTCTTTGTGTGCTTATATTGTCTTTAAATATTTTTTCTTCTTAATTGTTTTTGTGTATGCTTGTTATTTAAATATCTCTTTAAATTATCATGTACTTTGTCCAGTTTGTTTTAAGATAGATCTACATGTTTATTAGAAGATGTTTTTTCTCTTGTCTAGTCATCTACACCCTCCCTTTACTAGAGTTGTAGTGTGAAAATGTCAAATTTCCATCCACTGCTCACAAATGAATTTATTTACTTCATTGATGAATTCATTGCTTTGCTTTTTTTTTTCTTTCCACAGCCCCTGATCACAACCTGCCACTGTTCCATTGGATTTATTGACAGCTCACCAGAATAAATCCTGACTTTAATTAAAATCCAGAAATGCTTGCGGAGTTGGTCGAATTCACAGAAAAACTTGTTTGAACAAGTTGCAAAAAAATTGAGCACTTAAGAAAGCATTTGTTGCAGACAAGGAAAAAAAATTGACATTAATTCATTAATTTAACAATATCAAGTTGGCAGACTGGGTGAACTAAACAATTGCCAGAAATAAAGAAAGAATAAATAAGTATCGTGACACAATTGCGTGCTTCAAAAAACATGTCATATTTCACAACTAATTGTCTTTGAAGAAGTTGAACATTTAAATAAACACAATAAAAATATAATGAAAAACTTGCTGAACAAACTGAAGTAATAAAATTAGAAGAGACTATTGTTTAACTTACAGGGCAATCTCATGAGTTAAAGATGTAAAAGAGAAATCAAAGATTAAGACAGAGTAATTGATCATTTACATGACAAATTAAAACATGAAAGAAACATTCTAACAATAACATGCAAAATGAATTTAAAAAACAGTATTATCATGAATTAAGGTAGACTAAAAACACTAGTTTGCAGCAGCTGTAGACACAAATGTTAACTTTAAAAACTTCTATGCTCATCTTATTTTAGGCGACCAGCTGTTTTGTTAAAATATATTTTATTTTTTAATCAGTTTTTTTGTTAATTCTACTGATATTTGATATATGTAGATGTTCCAAAAGAAAGGCCTTAAAAAGACCTTCAGAACGATACCTCAATAATTGATGTAGCTTAATTTATAAGAAAGTTATGGCAAAATATATTGACCGCAGGACGGTGCGGTCACGTTACACAACACAGTGTTACATAATATTACCCAATATTACCCACCACGACATATTTTAAAAATCTCGTCTGACTGTTATTTTGTCCTCAACATCACAAGGTTTCAGAAAATGTTTGGTTTTTGCATGTACGCAGCAGCATATTGAAGCAGCTAACATTTCCCTTGTTGTCCTTGCTGTTTCGATCACAAAAATTGCCTTTTTTTTCTATATAGATGTTATCCCCTCGAAAAGATCTTTAAAATGCCATATCTCAAAAACGGTTCAACATAGAGCAATAACTAAGGTAGCGTTGGAATCGTGTCACTGAGCTCTTTGCATTGGTATTGTTTTTAAAGCAATTTGAAAGCTTTGAAATTTTTATCCAAGTGCCTACTTTGAAAGAGAGGGGGGGGGGGGGGGGAGAGAGGAATAGTGCGAGTGCGAGAACTTGCCGGTAAAACAAAATGGTGACCTACGTAGTTCGGCTCGATTCGAAAAGTTAAATAGCCGTAGCACCTTTGTAGACGACCAAATTAATTTACTTTTGTTTTTCAACATCATTTTTTATCTTTGTTTTTGTCAATTTGATCGTTCACACCGACAGACAGTATTCTGAAATTAGGAAAAACAGGTCTTGTTTCTCACACCGGGTGGGAATAGCCGACGCTGGAAAGTCTCACCTGGGGTGAGAGGTCGATCGTATTTTTTATTCTCACCCGGGGTGAGGATAGCCACTTCCTAGCTGAGATTTCTAGCCTAGAAAGTTAAATTATGACTGCTGAGTGAATCTCCATGGAATGAAATGACATGAAGCTACAGCGAGCACCAAGCACATCTCTGACGTATTTCCGCCATCTATTTTTGTCGTCTGGGGCTTCCCTCGCCAGTTGACTAGATCTCACCGTGGTGGGCCTGCTTTGCTCGCGCGATCGGCTACATCACCAGGGGTTTCATTGCCGACTACTTGGGCTGTGTGGGTGTGCACGTGTGTGTGTGTGTGTGTGTGCATGAGCGTGCACGCTTGTGTGTGTGTGTGTACAACTTTGAGGAGAAGGTAAATTTATGGAACGAGAATTGCTGAGATTGTTTTATAAAAGAAAAAATTAAAACAAACAAACAAACACTGCGAGAGATATAGTCAACAGTTACTGGTAGTAAGGGAAACCCAAGAATCTTGGGGGAAACCCTGGAAGACGACAAAAATAGATGGCAGAAATGTCATCTATATCTGGGCCATTCATAGAGGTGTGCTAGGTGCTCGCTACATAGCTTCATGATGTAATGAAATGTGGGATAAAAATGCTAAAAAGTTGCCTTCTTTGTGTTTGTATTTTCATTAGTCAGCTTGCTTACCATGATTATAATCAGCTTGCTTACCATGATTATAATCAGCTTGCCTCGTACTTTATGTCCTGAAAATTTAGAAAGTTTTTTTTACGCATCGGGAGGAATGGGGGGAAATTTTGAAAGTGGGAACCTCCGGTTATCGGTCAATGCCGTGTCATGTGACTAGACTACTAGATTCTTCTTCTGATTGGATATGAATGTGAGAGAAGCCGGCATGGACCAGAAATCCTATTTCACGTCGTGATAGCATTCATGCTGTCATTCACTTGGAATTTTTATCTACATGCTGTCATTGGCTTGGAATTTTATCTACAAATGAGTTGAAACCTTCTGGATGGCACTGTAATTTTCTGACTCTTATTTGGAATGGCAGGGAAACCTCTAAATTACCCAAACGCCCCAGGGTTGGCAGCTAACAAGAAGAGAGTTTGTATGGTGGTTACTTTGTGGATGTGTTTTTTAAAAGAGTTTATACTGGACATGATCGCAAGCAAGTTAAATTTTATTATTGTAGAAAGTAATCTGTGAAATTTCTCATAGAACAAGGCATTAATAAAGTAGATTAATATAGAAGGACTTCGTTCCTTGTTTTTCGTTCGTAAAAGCAAGAAAAGGAAAGGCTACCACAGGGGATAAACGCTTGCCGTGAAGTCATGGCTGAGTAACAAAGGTTAGCTTTTGATTGGATGGTTATTTTAAATGATTTGAATTGTACAAGGAAAACACTGTATTCATGATGGAATAAGACGTAAAAAATAAGGTTTTTTTTTATCACCGTCACAAATAATTTGGCTTCCTTTCAGTTTTATGTGAATTAAGTCCTATGGTCTTCAAAATAACTGCATATATAATTATGTATTCCCCTCCCAGGCTTCTTTTCAGTTTTGTAAATTAAGTCCTATGGTCTTCAAAATAACTGCATATATTATGTATTCCCCTCCAAGGGTTACAGTGTTTTTGGCAAAATCAGAATGTTTTTTACTTAAAGGTCCATTCTGTAGATTTATGCCATACACACATTAAAAAGACTAAATTTCAGCACAAATGTAAGTGCTAAATACCCCTTTTGTATACCATAAAAACTCATATTTTTGCCAGTAGCTCTAAGAGCACAGCCTTAACTTAAATTTATGGATTGATTTTCAAAAAGTAAAGAAGCGGGTTCCCATGGCCTAGAGGTACAGTGTTTGCCTCTCATTCAATAGGTCCCGGGTTTGAAACCTGACAGTGACGGAAGATTTTCTTCTCTAAAGTTTTTCCCCTTTCACCTCCTTTCCTGCGGTCTAACCATGTTTTATCATCTGCTTTCTTCTCCACTTTCTGTCCTCCGGGCTCCTGACTCTTTCTGCAGCTTTTCTACTGCTACTCTTTTGCACCTTCTTACTGCTGTCTTTCTGCCACACCCCTGATCTTAGGGTAGGTAAGATCTACACTTAGCCTTCTCGGATAGGGGCGGAAAATCTTCGAAGTCTTGTGTGCAAATTGCGCATGTTAAAGATCACATGGTGGTCCAAAATCGTTAAGAGTGCTTCGGCCGCCACGCGGGCAAAATTCAAAATTAATTCCTTCTAAACTAAAAATGTTTCATATGTCCCGTGCTTTCATATGACCTTATACAGTCACATTCTTTTCTTTTCCCTCCCGTTTCAAACTTAGCTACTAGTTGTCCATTTTCTACTATGTATTGATACACTGAGCATGAATATTGACTTCGTTTTCGTAGCAAATTAATAGTTTTTAAAACTATTTGATGGTTTTTAATCAAACTTGGTCAAACTAGGCCTAATTGTATTGTAATTTCTGTGCTTTGAACCAATCCGGGGGATTTCAGCCCTCTGAAGTTGAAAAAGAATCCTGTTTTAACCCATAATTTGATGTTTTGCAGTTAGGTTTGGCATTTTCTTGAAATGATTGATTTGCGACAGTTTTAGTGGCTGCATGTGTGATCTGCGGCAAAAAGTACTGCAGTTTGACCCCTAAAGCAGTGCATATACATGTGTGCTGGATTGAAAGTAAATATTTACCACAAAAAGTAAAGAGCCTTTTGCTTGAGAAATTATATTGATCTTTAATCTGTCTTTATAGCTTACAGTATGTATCTGCAAAAAAACTATGGTATTGCTAGTTTATCCCAGGGATATTTGTTTTCTTTCCTTTTTTTCAGTCAGTGATACAGTTTGCCCGGTGTGTGTGCAGTCATGTATTTGTGCATGTGTAAGGGTGGAGAAGATTTGTACATTGATTATTTATGTGAGAGACGCCTAGCAAAAAGCTTCCTTTTGGTATTAGAAGTGGTGTCAGCGATATCTCTTGATCCTTAGTCCTGAGTATTTTTTGTTATCTTTTGTAGGTGAGGTACTGCTGTAAACAAGCAGCCAGATAAAATGAGATTTTTTAAAAAGTGTTAACATTTGTAAACTTTGATACTCTGAGAAGATTCTGAAAAAAAAGTTTTAAGATATTTTATTCCTGATTGCATTCAAAGCAGGAACTGACATTATGTGCCCTTTTGGGATTTTTTGGTTATCCTTCAACATACTCTGTACACGTACCATTTGCATGCCTCATATTTCAAATGACTAATGTCTGATGGTAGATTGTTTTGTTTTTTTCCTGGTTGAAATGGGCATTTTGGCGATTTATAACTTGCATTGAAACATTTTATTGATTTCTTATAATTTGTATGATTTTTGTCTTTTTTCAGTCCCTCGGGCAAGCTTGTACAGATTGAGTATGCACTAGCAGCTGTTGGAGCTGGAGCCCCGTCAGTGGGAATCAAAGGTAGATTTCTGATGTTTCCATTATTTTTCCATGGCCTTACACTCACTGAGCAGTGGCCAGTGTAGAATCGCAATGGTCACTCCATACTGGCCGTTTTCAGACTTTCAAAAAATAATTCTTAAGATTGTAAATATTAAGCAAATTGTGTAATCTTTTGGCTTAGATAATTATGATACAACATATATATCTCCTTTAAACACTTAAAAGTTTATTACATTATCTGAAAAAACATTTTTTCTAAAACAATTTAAAATGCCCCATCTATTTTCAATTTCAGAAAACATTTCTGCTCACCATAAAAGGCTACTCAGTAAGGTCTATTTCTATTCCCATTTCTTCTTATTAATAAATTCTCTCCCCC